TATAAAAGTTTGGAGAAAATAGTGGGACATTTTAAAATAGAAATTGTCTTCAGTTTCAACATCAAAATACAACAGTTTTAAAAGCGGCAGAGAATCTGTTAGAAATTTTCAGTAATCGTCGGGAACAATTCAGACGAATGTCCGAGAGATTCGTCGAGCGTGATATCCTCGTAGTAAGTAAAAGACACACACCGTGGAGTTACCAATTTATTTTACCAATGCTTTCAATTGAAATCCCCCGCGAAAGGTTAGCGGAGTTAATTGAATTTTGAAATCTTTCGTCTCTTCCTTTTTTCCATTCCTCGTTGGACACGGTGAAAAGCATTTGATGAAAAACATTTGAGGAACGCCGCTGGCATCGAATGATCTAACCGGGTACCGGGTTATACATATTATTTGCTTTTTCACCGTGACGCTGCAACACGTCGATGAACGATGTGTCGAAAGAGCGGTTTCGCGATTGTGATAAATTAAAAAAAGAAGAAAGAATGAACGTCGAGAGAAGAATAGGCGACACGTTTTAATTACGCTTTTGTCCCCTGTCTCGGCTGTTGCTAAGAAGCAAGTTGATGTTCAGCCCTGGTATTCGTTTAAAATATGCGTCCATTTTTTTCCTCACGGTCGTTGTTTATCACCATTTTCGAAACAATGGCTGGGAAACAGGATTCCAAAAGTAATTGAATTCTGCATAATTTACATTTCACTTTACTTTTTCTCCTCGCTTCCTCCGGCTGAAGAATAATCCGATGTATTATTGTTTAATTTCGCGCGAAAGCGATGTCCCGTGATGCTTGATTCTAGAAGCAACTCTCTTTAAAAACGTTTAAGCAGCGTAAAAATCAGCGAAACGAACGGGAACAACAGAATTTAGATTAAACGACGACTTTACTCTTTCTCTGATTGTCGCTGAGTCGTTCGCCGAGTTCGCCCATCGTCAATCTCGAACGGAACTTTTCGTATTTGCGAAACGAATGAAATTAAAGGGGATGCAAGTTATTCTTTCTCTCTCTCTTCTCTTCCGTTATGGGAAGTTGGATCCCAAAGACGAATCCAAGCCATACGAAGTTTCTTCTGCCTGCCTCGCAAACTATTGTTGAAGATACTGAAAAAGTTTCACGAGAAGCAATTTGTAGTCACTTCTTCTTATTTGTTGCGCGACGAGATAGCATTTTTAGGGCCGCGCGGAGGCGGACCAAGTTCTGAGCGACTTGTGTCCCGGTCGTATATATATATTTTTTTTTTTTTTTTTCAAAAAAATGATATCTCCATCGCCGGGGGAATACATGTTGCTTCCAATTTAATAGAATAATTCTTCTCCGACGATGGATGTGAAGTTGAGCCAAGTTACGTTAGGATCTCTGAAGGATTTCACTTCTGAACTCGACGTTTGCGTCATATTCGGCACTCGAAGTTTCTTTCAATTTCTCTACTAATAAATATCTGTAAATTTTCACAAATTATGCGGCAGTGATTCATTCGGCTTCTTCTTCTAATTTCCGAAATTAATGTTTGCGTCACATTCCAGACTGATTCGAGTTCCGTCCAATTTCTTTCAATAAATTATAATGAATTATAAATTTCTATAAATTACGCGGCAGTAATTCTTCTAATTATCCACTAATTCTTCTAATTACTTAATAATTCTTTTAATTATCCAAAGATAATTCTTTTAATTCTTCTAATTATCTTCTACTTATCTAATAATTCTTCTTCTAATTATGTAATAATTCTTCTTTTAACCATCTAACAATTCTTCCAATTATCCAAAGATAATTCTTCTAATTATCTTCTAATTATGTAATAATTCTTCTTCTAACTATCTAATAATTCTTCTAATTATCCAAAGATGATTCTTCTAATTATCTTCTAACTATGTAATTATTCTTCTTTTAATTATCTAATAATTCTTCTAATTATCCAAAGATAATTCTTCTAATTATCTTCTAACTATGTAATTATTCTTCTTTTAATTATCTAATAATCCTTCTAATTATCCAAAGATAATTCTTCTAATTCTTCAAAGATAATTCTACTAATTCTTTTAATTATCTTCTAATTATCTAATAATTCTTCTACCAATTATGCAATAATTTTCCTGCTAACTAATAATTCTTCTATCTAATAATTCTTCTAATTCTTCTAGTTATGTAATAATTATGTAATAATTCTTCTAATTACCTTCTAATTATGTAACAATTCTTCTTCTATTTAATAATTCTTCCAATTATCCAAAGATAATTCTTCTAATTCTTCTAATTATCTTCTAACTATCTAATAATTCTTCCAATTATCCAAAACTAATTCTTCTAATTATCTTCTAACTATTATCCAAAGATATCGATCGGCACGGCACAACCGTATCAACGGTCTCAGTGCAACAAACACGCAATACGGAAATCAGTGGAACGAAACGATCGAGCTCCTTCAACGAGATAATAGACTGGCTGTTCGGATTGACACTCCAACAAGCTGTTGATAGATGAATCACTCATAATCGTGCGGAATATGTGCGCAGTGGATTAATCACCAGCCATCACCCCGGCGAATCGATAAGCTACAGTACACATACGTATAGAAATTGTGCGTGTACGTACCTTTGATGAAATCCACGGCCATTTCCAACCCGTACGTGTCCTTGTCGCAATCGTCGAGAATATGGGCCCCGATCTTGACACCTGGTATAATTTTAACATCGTTCAGCCTGTCCAGGGTGTACAGCATGGCCTCGAGCGCTTGTATACCGCCCTGTGACATCACCGGACCACAAGTGATGGTGTCCTCCCTCTCGTGCACCATCATCAAACCACCCAACACTAAATCACCTTCAACCACCGCGCTGTGTTTAACCGGCCATTGATCCGGCTGTTCCATCTCGCGCGACGAGTTGTCCGTCTCGCGCAAAGACACGTTGCTCACAGTCGAGGTGTAAAGGTCCTCGTCGTCGACCGGCTCCAACGACGTGACGACGATCGTGGCGTCGAAGCCCAACAGCTGATCCTCGTCGTTGATCAACGATTGAACTGTGGACACGGTTTGCAGTTGGTCGCCGCCGGTCGACGAGAACGTCGCGTCGCTCGTAGCAAGAGGATCGTCCGTAGGTTGCTTCGTAGTCGAGGTGGCCAGGATCGTGGTCGACAGGATCGGCAGAGCTTTCGAGAGAAATTGAAACGAACCGTTCGACCTAGCTCGCGAAGCCTCGATCGGGATATCGTCGTTGGCCTTTGGTGTCGTGGAATCGATCGAAACGTTTCTCACATTTCGCCGAGTCTCGTCTTTGTTCGGCGTCGCTGTGTCCTCGATCCTTGCTTTCGGAGCGGATGCTTTCGACGACCTGGACTTTCGTTCGTTCGAGTCGCGATCGTCGGGTGAGCGGCGGCTGGCGTTCGTTAATCGATCCTCGAGATCGACCATCGTCTTTTTGCTACCCTCGACGTTCGACGAAGACCCCGCTGGAAAGAAGGCCGACTCATTAGCCTTAATTTCGCCGACGTTTCGGTTCGCCGAGTCAACGGAATTCCCCTCCTCGAGGCTGATCCTCGGAGGGCCATTAAGCGTTCCTCGATCGTTTATTGTTACCTCGATCTGGTCGATCGCACTCGATTCTCGGCTGTCTCGTACAGGCGTCGCCTCGTCATCGATCTCGCTACTTCGCCACAGCGATTCGTCATCGCGTCCGCTACTCGTAGCCGCCACTTCTTCCTCGAGAGCGGCATTTTTCGATAGGACGTTCGGCGCGACTGTCGGAGAGACTCTCGACCCTGCTTGCTCCTCGTTATTTACAGACGATCGCTCAGCCAGTGAATTTACGTTGAAATTCTCGACGATCCTGCTCACCTCCTCGCCCTCGTGCCCCGTTGTCGACGAGTTTCTAAACGAATCGTTAGCATTCCTTGCGCTTCCAGCCGCGGCTAGACTGTTCATATCGCTGCGTCTTAGATGCGTGGCATTCCTGCGAGCCGCAGCCGAGCCGCGCCGAGAATTCACCGGCACGCTAGTTAGCGCAGACCTTTCTTCATCTTCCTCGTTCCTTCGCTCCTTAAATGCGCCCACTTCTCCGCCGATTCCCCCGTCTAATCCCGTTTCGTCAATTAGATCGTTGCTCGTTAACGCAGATTCGTCGTTTGAATCTCTCGGAGCGTTGCCGTTTGACTGCGAATTAATCACGGCGGCTCTGTTTGCCGATTCGTTTCTCTCGATATCGTTCATCACCGAGCGTTCATCGTCGCCCGCGCGCCACTGCAACTCGAATGTCCAACGTCTGTCCGCGTCTGAATCGTTCTCGTACGCCGACAAGACGCTTGCCTCTGACACGCTCGGACGTATGTGTGCACTTGATGCATTCATCGAGTAGTTTTCATTTCCAGCGGGGATCGTCAATCGGTCCGCGAGGTTATCCTCGATCGGATCAAAGCTCGATTCTTTCCCCGACTCGCGATTGTTCGTCGTCCCTTCGTCGCGGAAGGTGACGTTCGACGAATCGAAGGCCGAAAGGGAATCTCTCTTCCCTCGAATCGAGGCGGAATCGAAGCTTCCTTTGTCTCGCGGATCATCGCGTCTCGTCGTCGTCGATTGTCTCGAAGCGATTTCATCGAGCTCGCGCGTATCCTCCGCGCGATCGGGCGCCTCTATTGATCCTGTCTCGAATCTGTCATTTTGTCGATCGCCATTACCGAAGAGCGGCCACGAATCACGCCGGCTTTCCAGGTTCGCTGATCTCTCTTTCAGGTACCCGACAGATCGTCCGCGTCTGTTTTTCGATCTTCTCGCGACGACCAGTTTGCTCAGCCTCTCAAGTTTGTTCAACCTCCTGTTCAGGGAGACGGAGAAGACCGAATAACCAGTCAGAAATCGTTTCCTAACGATCTTCTTCGAATTGCCGGAAGAATCGGCCCCCTCTAGATGCAGAAATCTCTCTGTTTGAGAAAGATCTCTCGTCGATGGTTCCCCTCCTTCGTCGCCGCCGATTCGTCGCGCGTGACCGTAATGCGGCAGCTCGCTTCCTCGTTCGCTCGCTTTTTCAGACGTTTCAGACGTTTCACGTTCACCGATTTTCGACGGTTTCGCATGGTTGATCCACCTGGATACGTCCCTTATCGAGGCACGAGGCATCCACGAGGATAAACGCGACTGTTGAGGAATTCCCAAGTCGAAGCCCCTCGATCCCTCGACAACTTGCACGCCAGAGTTGCCCGTTCGACGTTCGCCAGATCGTTCGTTGGATTCGTGGAGGATCGATCGACCGGTGTTTGACTGTTCTTCGTCCTCCAGTTTGTCGAGCTTCGTTGCTCGTTGTTGCGTTATCACGTTGGTTCGATTGCCGGAACGGTCTTTCGACGGGACGACATTTTTCACGTCGCTGGCGTGTGAACGTG